GTGGGTCCTTCACCCCTGGGCACGGCGGGGAACAAGACCAGGGGTGGCTCCTTCGAGTTTGGGTGCCACAGGAGCAGGACCAGGGGTGGTGATGCCTCAGGGAGCCCCCGATGTGTCAGGGAGCCCCTCAGATGTGCCAGGGAGCCCCCCCAGACACTCAAGGGAACCATCCAGATGTGGAAGAGCCCCCCCAGTATGTTAGGAAGATCCCGAGATGTACTGGGGAGCCAGCCAGATGTGCCCAAATGCCACCCAGATGTGCCAGAGCATCCCTTCTGATGCACCCGGGACCACCCCCTGATGTGCCCAGGCATCCCCAGGTGTGCCACGAATCCCCTCGGATGGGCCAGGACACCCCCAGATGTGAACAGGAGCCCCCAGATGTGCTCCAGTGCCCCCTCAGACTATGCCAGGGTATCCCCAGGCACACCTGGACACTTCCAGTGCCAAAGCACTCCCAGCCATGCCTGGGACCCCTCCCAGCTGTTCCTGGCCCCCCAGATGTGGCAGAGCACCCACCAGCTGTGCTTGGGACCAGCCCCAGATCCCAGATCCTGCCTGGGATCCCTTGCAGATGTTCCCAGCTGTGCCAGAGCAGCTCCCAGCTTTGGGGAAAAAGGGGGAATTTGGGGGGGGGTGGCCTCAGTTTCTCTCCCCTAAATCGGTGCCACCACGGGCTGGACTGGGCTGGGGACGCCCGGATGGGAACACCCCTGTTCGTGGGGGGATGGGGGGGGGTCCCTGTTTCCCCCCTTCCCCTCCCAGCGGGAACCATCCGGCAGCAATTCCCTCCAGGATGCGAAACCCCCGCTGGGATAAAAGGGCGGCGAGGAGGAGGGAGGGGACAATGCCACAGGTCACATCAAAGGTGACATCAAAGGTGCCTGAGCCGCCAACATCCTCCCCGTGCCCCCCGGGGGGGGGGGGGGGGGCTTTGGGGGGCTTAGTGGGGGTCATTTACATTTACAACCCAACACCGGGATTTTGGAGGGGAGGGGGGACGGGGACAAGGACGTGCCACCCCCGCAGCTCGACCCTCGCTCTCCCAAAATGCCGCGATCCGATCCGGCCCCTGCCGGGCGCGGGGACTGACCTGGTGACAAAGGCCAGCACGGCGTTGGTGGTGTCCCTGGCGACGTCCTGCACGGCCGGGATGTCCCCGCAGCCGTAGGTGTTCCCGCAGTGGGCGTAGACCCCCGCCAGCGTCACCACCTCCGGGCACCCCCGGGCGATGGCCCGTGCCAGCTCCAGAGCCTCGGGATCCGTGGGGCGGATTCCCGCTGTGCCAGGAGGGGGGACATGGAGGTGGGAGGGGGTTTGGGGTGCCCCAGGTTGGGGGAGATGGTGGGGATGGGGATGGGTGGGATATCACCCCCCCACTACGGAGCATCCCGGCGGTGGGAAGGGTGGGAATTGGGGCGTGGGGGGGATTAAAGGGGTTTGGGCGACCTCTGCCCCTTGGAATACCTGGAAAAACGACCCTGGAGGGGCTTAAGTGTCCTGTCCTGGTTGAGAGGGTGGATCTGAGGGCTTGAGGGACCTGGGACATCCTTCCCCATCCTCCCCCAGTCATTCATCCTTGAAGAATGATTTTTGGGTGGGGGTCTTAAATGTCCCCTCCTGGTTGAGATGGATCTGAGGGTTTGGAGGGACTTGGGACATGGAGTATCCTTGATCTGGGACATTGGGGGTGGTCTCAGCTGCCCCATCCTGGCTGAGATGGTGGATCTGGGGGCTTGGGAGGACACAGGACCTCATTCCCCAAGGAACAACCTTGAAGAATGACTTCTGGGGGCTCTTGGATGCTCCATCCTGGCTGAGATGGTTCCAGGGGCTTGGAGGGACAGGGGACATCCTTCCCCAAGGAGCATCCTTGAAGAATGGCTTTTTTTAGGGGTTCTCAGGTGCTCCTTCGTGGTTGGAATGGTGGATCTGGGGGCTTGGAGGGATAAGGAACATCCTTCCCTAAGAAGGATCCTCGAAGAATGACTTTTGGGGGGTCTCAAATGCCTCAGCCTGGTTGAGGTGGTGGGTCTGGGGGGCTTGGAGAGACATAGGGATCCCTCCCTGTGGAGCATCTTTGAAGACTGCCTTTTTTGGGGGGGGTCTTAAATGCCCCATCCTTGTTGAGATGGTGGATGTGGGATCTTAAGGGGACATGGAGACCTCTCCTCATGGAGCATCCTTAAAAAATGATTTTTGGGAGGTCTTAAATGCCCCATCCTGATTGACAGAGAGGGCTTGGAGGGTCCTGGAGCATCCTTGATTAATGACATGGGGGGTGGGCTTAGATCCCCCACCCTCATGGAGATGGTGGATGTGGGGGCTTGAGTGACACAGGGAGCTCTCCTCATGGATCATCCCTATGGAATGACTTTTGGGGGGTCTTAAGTGCCTCATCCTCATGGAGATGATGGATCTGGGAGTTTGAGTGACACGGAGCTCTCCTCATGGATCATTCCTAAGGAATGACTTTTGGGGGGTCTTAAATGCCTCATCCTCATGGATCATCCCTAAAGAGTGACTTTTGGGGGGTCTTAAATGCCTCATCCTTGTGGAGATGATGGATGTGGGGGTTTGAGGGACAGGGGGAGCTCTCCTCATGGATCATCCCTATGGAATGACTTTTGGGAGGTCTTAAACGCCTCATCCTCATGGATCATCCCTAAGGAGTGACTTTTGGGGGGTCTTAAATGCCTCATCCTCGTGGAGATGGTGGATGTGGGGGCTTGAGTGACACAGGGAGCTCTCCTCATGGATCATCCCTAAAGAATGACTTTTGGGGGATCTTAAGTGCCTCATCCTCATGGAGATGGTGGATGTGGGGGCTTGAGGGACACAGGGAGCCCTCCTCATGGATCATCCCTACGGGGTGATTTTGGGAGGTTCTCAGCCGCCCCATCCCGACTGGGACGGTGGTTCTGGCGGGCACCCAGCACATCCCACCCCACGGGCCATCCTGGATGATGAACACCCCCGTGGCAGAGGCCGGGGTGCCCCATCCCTGCCCCCCAAAGGGTGGGGTGTGGGGGGTCACCTACCCCTGCCGTTCCCGCAGTCCAGCTTGAGCCACACGAGCCAGCGCTTCCCGCCGGGAAGGGGGTTCTGGCGCAGGAGCTCCAGGCCCCGGGGGCTGTCCACGAGCAGTTGGAAGGCCTGGAGCCGCCGGGCCAGGGCGGCACATTCCGGCAGGTGCCACTCCTGCGCCGGGAAGGCGAACAGGATGTCGTCGAAGCCCCCGGCGGCGAAGAAACGCCCCTCGGCCAGCGTGGACACCACGATCCCGCGGCGAGTCCCGCCCGTGGCCAGCGCGGCCCCTTCCCTGGCAACCGGGAGAGAGGGGTCGGGGTGTGGGAAGGGGGGAAATGGGGGATACCCGGGGGGAAAGGTGGGGGAGGAGGGAGGGATGGGAGAAACTGGGGGGATATTAGGGGGGAAGGTGAGGGGATGGTGAGGGGAGAGGAT